AGTGATTTTGTAAGTTCTCTACCTCCTGGATTCTCTCGTGACAATATTACTTACTTCACCATATTCAGTCTCTTTATTTTTTAAATTACATATTGTATTCTTGTCTATCCTGATTTTTAGGTTGTGTTTTCCTTTAACATCCTCTGTGTATTTGATACCCCCTTTTTTATATATCCCTTTGGGCTATATATTTTTGTTTTTACTTTTGGAGTGTTTGTGAGGTACATTTTTCAAGGGCGGTTTACACTAACTCCACGTGTGTTCTATAGTTACTATATTTTCACATAGTGTTGTAAGGATATATACTGAATTAGATAACATCCTATCAAAGCAGAAAATTACATTTCTTTTTTTGTTCTTTAATGCGAAGAACTCTGTACACTTGTGGTAGTATATTGAATTATATTCCTCTAATTCATTGAACAGTCCTGTTAAAGATCGGGTCACTAGAGAGAGATGGCCCTGTGTATATTGATACTATGTTATTGCAAATATTATTGTCGCGTATATAAAAAGGCAGGATTTCTAGTGGTTCTAAGGAATTAAAATCTGATGTGGTACTACACATACAAGATCATTATTTTCTTTAGTATTTATACCTCGGTTCCTTTAGGTTGTGTGTTTGAGCGGAGGCCTCTTCACCTTTATCATGCTTTGCTATATACATATATCACTTTAACATTTTTATTCCTGTAAGGACATGGTTGACCACCATGGGATGACTAATCTTGCTTTCAAGTGCAGTATAACGTTATGTTTTTATGTACTTTCTGTTGTAATTGTATCCTTTTTGTGCGTCTCAGGTACACAACAAAACATTTGAACGATGAGACTACCTCGAAGCAAATCAAGACGATGCTGCAATAACTGTGCCGCTGGATCCGAACCTGCTGTGGACAGAAGACAGTATTCTGCAATGACTGAGATGCACAGGATTTTAGTGATTGCAATTACTCTCTCTCCCTCTACCCCTTTTAGTCTCCTGCCTCCCCCCTCCCCAACCCATCCTTTTTAAAACGTGTTCTTGTTCTTAAATAAGCTCAGTGTTCTTTTTTGTGCCAAAATCAATGGAAAACTAACTGATAAATCCTGGGAGGCAGGTAAACTTTTTCAGAATGGACGTGTCCATGGCAGCTATTTATGCGTTAGGTTTTTTTCCTCTCTACTGAGGATATTCTGTGACTTGAACTTAATATTTTTAAACTCCCTCCCCTACCCTGGAAAAAACCTTAATATTTAATATTGCTTCAACTGCATGGCTGGAACGGCCTATTTCTGCTATTTAAAAAAAAGAAATGGAAAAAAAAAGAACCTTTTTCTATTGCATTTATTTGTTTTTTTTGTTTAATTTTTTTTTTCCATGTGCAGCCAAGAGAGAGAAAATATGAGCAAAGATGTTTAAATTAACTGTGTTGTACAAAAATGGTACCCAGCACAATGATTTTTTTGAATTAGTAAAGAAAAAAGAGAAAGTGTTTTAGGTTGCATTTTGACTCATTTTTGTAAGGATGTGTGTTGTTTGTTTAATCTTTGATGACTAACATTAAATAATGTGATGTGTGCGTAACAGAATTACGTATGCATGTTTATGTCAAATGGATGGCTGTTAAAATAAAAATCAGCTTTCATTTTTCTAAACGTGGCCTGATTTTAACATGGTTTTGTGTTTCACTGTATGTGTTACTTTGCTTTTCTACTTAAAATTCCAGCATTTTTAATGGAACTCTGTAGGGCTGAATAGAACTAGTTTGATTTTCACACAGGCACAAATGCCATGATTATGCCTTGATCTCAGGAATATACAATATGGGAAATGGATGGGTGGATGAAATTGCTACTGTGGATCTTATATGGCAATTTTCTTTAGTGGTGCCTCTACACACTGCAAAAAGTACCATGAACACATGTATTGCTGACACTATAGTGTTAAACTATTTAGGTCCCATACCCTCTTTGCATTGCTTTGAAAAGGTGATTATACTTTCCCTTTCTCTGATGCCGTGTTGATCTTGTCGCGTCTTGCTTTTCCTCCATGCTTGATGTCCTTAAGCTTGATGATCTCAGCCAATCCAATTCTTTCTCATTCGAAGGCTATTGCAGATGTGTAGCAAATCGCTGCTCTGTTTCCCATCAGCATCTACTTATAAAGATGAATGAATGCATCTCTGTAGAGCACGCTTAGTGCCTCCATGCAGAACATAAATGTAGGTGACTGGACTATGAAGCACCTTTAGTGGCCATCAGGGTGACTGCCATTAGAAGTGTACCAATGTGTACCATTACTAGGCACCAATGTAAACACTGCCTTTTCTCTCAAAAGGGCAATGTTTACATTGAAAAGCATGCAGGAACAGGCTATATACCGCAGAACAACTACATTACGCTGTAGTATTTCTGGTGACTATTGTGACCCTTTCAGGGCTTTCAAGTATTTTTTAATGTGTCATTTATATATTAAAAAAAGGAAAAGGTGGGAAAAAGGTAATTTAGATGAGAAAATGTCAATTTTCATTGGCAACAATAGAAAAGGAAACTTAAGCCCTATAACCAATAAATTCTGCCAATTCATAAAACTGACTTGATAAGGACGTACCTTTTTTTTTTTTTTTTAAAGCCAAGTTTTATGAAAGGGAGCCACAGCTTGGCTGACAGCTCAGCTTACTACTCTCAGCCAGTCAGCATCGCTCCTGCCTGATGCTGCTCAAACCTTTTGGTTTCCAGAATTTGAGCAAGTAGAAGGATAGAGGGGCAGAGAGACCCTGTACTGGAACCCAGACTTTGGGTTTAAATATATCAAAAACAGTTTAATCCCTAATGGTGAGGCAGTGCTAAGTACCTCCTGGCACCACAACAACCTCATTTTGATCAAGTTGTTATGGTGCTTGGAGTGTTCTTTAATAAAAATAAAAAAAGTGAACATTTGATGGCACTTGTTCTTTAATAGAACATATACACTACAAATATTGCACTCAGTAATAACACTCTGTAATAACATTGTTCCATGTTGGCCTTGATAAATATTGGTCAATGTCTGCAGTCTTTCCAATGGGATAAAATGCATTGGCCCACCTGCAATTTGGAGAAATACTTTATCCCGGATTAACTATTATTGTAGGACTCAAAAGTATACAAACTGATAACCTTTCCTTCTCTGTTCTAGTATGGCCTTGTGTGTAGTGCCTGAGTCAAACCAAGCTAGCGGTCAAAAGTCAAACCTGTCTGTAGATACTACATGTAGTGACGTATGGATAGATGACGGTAAAGTGATTCCATGAGGGCCTTAAAGGGAAACCATCACATTACTGGAAGTTACACTGTTGAATAAATCATTGAAAATCACCTATAACGTGTGTTCTTTTTATGTGGTGATCTGTTTTCTTGTAAATGTATATTGAAGATTTAGCAAATGATCTCAAATTCTGGTTGATTCGAGGCACAGCCAGGGCACACGATGCAAACAAGAAACCGAAACATTGTTTCATTACTCCTCCTCTGTTTTATTTCTATGCTGTGTAACACGCAGAGCACAGAGCTTATAACAATCACTGACCGAGAGCCACTCCATTCCAGAATAGTGGTAAATACAGCATTTCATTTTATTTTCAGCCATCACAAACACAGTTAAGTATAGGAGATGGGTAAACATAATGTTAAAAGTGACTGTTCCATTAATACAATGCACTACCTATGCAGAAGCATATGCTGTGTTGCAGTTATTTTCTGGCGTTTGTCATTTGTGTTAGATATACTGTATTACTCTTCAAAACACACTAACTAACTGCATGTTGTCACCCAGCCATTTTGCTGGGTGTGCTAGTAGTTCGAAGGATAAGCCATAACTCCATACCAATTACAGGCCACCCCACGGTTCCAAATCCAGGGTCCTGTGCCACTGTCACTGTTCCCTGTTGTCCTGCATCTAGGGAACTGTCCTCTACCAGCACAGCAGGAGTGCAATATTAGATGCTCCCACACACCCTTATCTCATACCTCCCAAAATTGGGAGGTATATATTTATTTTTCCATTTTAGTTGAAAAACATTGTTTATCGCTGGCATTTTTCTGAAATACAAAAGCTGCATGAAAATCAGTTTATACAAAAAAGAACCTTTTTTCCTATATAAATTTTGTGCATCTTCTTTCAATATTGCTTATCTAATTTTCTGCACATGTCCACAAATGTCATAAAGAGTTTTATCCTTTGCCATCATCTCAAGCGGCTTGGGAGACCAGAATTTCCTGCAGCTTCATTTTGGATGATGTGGTTAATGGAAATGTGTTTGATACCAGGAATCCAAAGCAAAAGACTGTTTAAGAGATTACAGAGGGGTCGTGGGTACAGGTTTTAGAGTATTCTTTGAATGCATTTAAAAATATTGGGGATATTCACTAAACTCTTGGTTTCAGAAAAGCCCAATCAAAATTACAAAACAGACGAACACAGTCAAGCTATGACTGGAGGTTAGTTGGAATATTTGACCATATCCGTTATGTTTCCCTAAACATTGACATAAAGACTTTGATTTCCTACAAATGTCTTGTTTGTAGTGTAAGGATGTAACATTCCCATGTAATCGTTGATATGGTTATATTAATGTGATGTATGGTACACTGGTTGCATTCATGACGGACAGTCACCCATATTGTTATGTGTGCCATGTACCTGGGCCGCATGGCATAACGAATTCACATCATCAATCATAAGCACTCTAGTTACACATTGAAAGCACATACTTTGTATTAACTCATCCTCAAAGATGAATGGTAAATGCTCATTTTGTGTAGACGTAACATTTTCCCAGCCCACAGTTATAAAAATATTTGGAATAACACCGCAGGACTAAATCTATCTACATAAGCATTATTTCCTTTATTTAGCTTTGTTGTAACTTAAAGGGATTCTATAGACAACCAGACCCCTCTCTCTCAATGAAGTGATCTGTGTGCAAAGTCCTATATTTCTTCCCTGGAACTGCAAAATGGCAGTGTTTTCATTAAAGGGTTAACATGCCTCTAGTGGCTCTTACGAAGACTGCCGCTAGAAGTGCCTCCACAGCTTTGACTTTAGTGGAAATGATTCACGTTGAGAGCATTTGATTGGTACAGCATCATGTATGGCCGAGCATGCGCACTAGGATTCCAATGCTTCCCTCGGCCAAAGAGGCACAGCTGTGGGATGTACTTACCTTTTAAACCACTGTGGGTGGGGTGGACAACTGGATAATCAGGGGAACACCATAGTGTTAGGAATACATGATTGTGAGTAAATTTGAACCCCATTTTAACCAGCCAAAAGGCTACCAACACTTATAATTTCCTAGTTAACTTAATGTACTGACACTTATTCTATTGTGTTAAACAGCAAAAATCATGGAGTTTCCATGAATGCAGGTTCCATAAACATTCCTCTGGAATACAAAACGTGTGTGTGTACGTACGTATGTGTGGCAAACCTAGCCACTTAAGACTATGTATGTACAAGGGTTGTCTTGCTTTATTTTATATTCCGCTTTACATGTGTTAGAGAGCATTTCGGTACTACCGAAAATTTGTATCCGATTACAGCACCCTGGCCAAACCACTAAGGTAGTAGTCTGGGCCCCAGAGTGTGAACAGGCATTCCAACAACTGAAAACTGCTCTTGTTAATGCACCTGTACTTGCTGCTCCTGATCCAACTAAACGATTTCTTGTCCATACAGACGCTTCTATGTTTGGATTGGGAGCAGATGGCGGCGAGCGGCTTACTTAAGCAGAAAACTTTTACCCTGGGAAGTAAGCTATGCCGCCATCGAAAAGGAATGCCTGGCCATGGTGTGGGCCCTCAAAAAGCTGCAGTCCTATTTATATGGACAGCCTTGCTCACAGATCACAGACCGCTGGTGTAGCTGAACAGGGTGTCAGGAGACAATGCCAGGCTGCTGTGCTGGAGTTTGGCGCTGCAACCTTTTGACTTTACGATCCACTACCACCCTGGGAAGCAAAATGGCAACGCTGACGGGTTATCCAGACAAACAACTTGAAAAGTGATCTGTGAGTACTCCTCTGGACATCTCCAAGCCGATCCGTTAGGATCAGACTGTGTATGCCGGCTTGGTTCTGGGGGAGCATTGTGGCAAACCTAGCCACTTAAGACTGTATGTATGTGTAAGGGTTGTCTTGCAGACTGCAGGGATAGGGCTGTATTGCTTTATTTTATGTTCCGCTTTACATGTGTTAGAGAGCATTTGTATGCTAGCTGCCCGAAAAAGCCTCTAGCATTCATACGGTAGTTTCACAAACAGTGAATTTCAACACTGTTCGTGAAACGAACAAACTAACGAATGGGAGACCACACAAGGGGGTTGTGTGTCTTCCATTAAAGATTACACAGCCCGTTAATGTGTGTCCCGGGTGGCCGCCGTTCGTATGCTGAACATGTGGCGGCCATCTTTGCTCACGAAAGCCCAGCGGTGTTTGGTCATCGAGTGCCTGGAACTAAAATCGGCTACTCGACTTCACGAACACCGCTGGACTTCCAGACTGTTCGGATTGGATTATTCTTTCGGCATATTAAAGCTACCAGTATATTTTCACATTACAAGGTCTGTTCGTCTGAAACCGTAATTCAAATGGCTTTCGTTTAATAATGCAGGGATCTGAGCGGTATTTCACCAGACGGTGCGCTCAGATCCCAGCTATTCACTGAGAGGTCATTCGGGCATATTTTTCAAGTTATGTATTTTTGTGTAAAATTTTATATTTTGCTGTACTGAGAGATAATCCAATAAACAGTATATTCTTGGGTGATTACCTCTCTAGTACAGCAGGGCACGCTGGGAAATAACCTTGCAGGGTCAGTTTCCCACACAGTCCCCTTGATTAAAATCCCTGCAATACCAATCTGAAAACCCCTTGCATGGGGAACTGCATAAATACCGTGACCTGTGAATAAAAGCTCAGTTGACTCCCAGACTATGTGTCATCTAGTTCTTGGGAGGAAGGGATTATCGTAACGCTACCTGGATTATTGTATGCTGTTCCTGTCTACCAGTGGAGATACTGTGGATTATACTACCTCTCCGCTACAGTATGTGTGTACAATGCACATATATAACCAGTACAGTTGCATGGAGAAAAGGCATCTGTATTGCATAAATGAGTGCATAGGGTGAGTGGTGAGTTATAGATGCTGATTTTAGATGGATGGTAAGACATCCTGTAAGATCATTTGAATGGCGTCCTCATCAACCTATTGTTCCTGTAACATTTTGTAATATTGCAAATCGCTGCAGAATAAGTTGGTGTTATATAAATGCCAATAATAATAAAATATAGTATTCGATTGTGGAGTTCTCTTTAGAAATAAAAATTACGCCAAACAATGACAAATGGGGGTGGTATCCATGCCGCAGCAAAATGGAGAATGGAGGGAGCAGGATGCTCCGAGCGAAATGGCGACTATAGCACCTACTACTCGCATCATCTGCCTACCTCCACTGAGGTCTTCTCGGTGGGTGGCCCTGACAGGCCATCCACATCAGCGGGAGTCCACTGGAACAATCCAACAGCGCTATCACCAAAACCGCACTGAAGTACAACGTAGTAGCCCACCTGGAAAGGACTCCGATTGGGTCTGGAGAAGGGGGGTTGAACTTACCTGTCGCTGCTTTGTCGCTCCTGCATGCGGACTCTCATTATACCACAAAACACTTCCCAGCCTGGGAGTCGGTTGACTCTCGCTACACCTTACTACCACGCTCTCATGTCCCATAAGCGCGGGCCTCTGGTTCCAGCGTAATAATTTTGCAGTTTCCTCTGTTACTCTGCTAACCTAATAATCTTAACTCTCTAATCTCCATGTCTATTTCAGTTATGTAATCCTTTATTATTATTTGTACACACACTTAGACATGTCTGTTATATTCCTACTATATTATTTAAAAAAAAAAAAAGGTGCAGAAAACTTGACATATAATGTTCTTCTCACGTGCTAATCCTACAGAGCACCACAAAAAAAAAAAAAAATGAATTAAAAAAAAAAGAGGACTACTATAAGGGGGTTAAGATGAAAAAAGTTTTATTTGGAGAGAGAATGTCTTGGAGAGCAGCACATAAGCTTAACGTTGGATCAAGGAATATTAAACCGATTTCCAGAAATAGTTGTAGGAGCATGGAGTAGGCTTGCAGCAGAGGTGGTAGAGACAATAACTGGGTTAAAGTTCACAAAGGTCTAGGATCACAGTCATTGCTGCACAGAGCAAGTTATTAATGTCTGTTTCATAATACGTTGTACAGACCAGCTGTGAATTTGCAAATTGTATATCACACACACTCATCTACTTCTCTCTTTTAAATGTATACTTTTTTCCCTCTGTGCATCTGTTAGAAACTGTGCAAAACTAAATTTAGTCCTGTTTCCCATAGTTCTAGGAGCCCCTCGGTGCGGTGGTTGAACTGTTGCATCCTGTATTTTTCACTGTATGAAAAAAATACATAGTTAACTCTTTGATAGCCAGAGGGGCCGGCAAGAGGGTGACAGCTGAAATATTTTACAAGATTCTGCAGAAGTAAACTACTTAACCCTTTTATGACCACCACATTTGTTGTTTCTCATTAGACAAGTCTAGGATGTGCATATTTAAATAGATATTCCAGTTGGTAAAACAGACACAATGCAAAAAATGTAATTGTTTTGAATGTCCACCCTGCAAATCCTCAATGTCAGGGTCCCACAGCTTTTGCGTCTCCAAATTTGTACATAAACCCCCCCCAGCTACTACCATAATGGTAATGTAGTCCACGTGTATGTTTCACATATTTTTCACCTTCACTTAAACAATTATTTAATGTGTAGTTATTTTTTTTTTTTTATTTTTTTTTTACATTTAAAAAAAAATGTTATAATCAAAGAATCTGAATTAGACTTTTGCAAAAATTTAGTTTTGAGAGATTTGCTGAATAAAATCCCATTTATCGATCCCAGAATGTATCGATTCTGAAGCAGTCTCACCTGTACACTGCACAGGTAAAACTACAAGTAAAAACGATACGAGAATGAATTAAGCGATTCCCAGGAATTTTGTTCAAATGATTTGCTTAAAATATATTTTTGTGAATGTATAGTCTGTACTTTGAATATTTGCCGGGTTAATTCACCTAGAAGGTGAGTTAAACGTTTGGAACCACCTAAGTATCTCTAAGGTAGTGAATGTTACTATTACAATCTTTACTAAAATTAAGGAAAAATTTACTCACAGCTGATCCATTATCAAACAGACCTTTGTCTATGAAACAAAGTTAAATTTAATCAAGGGAGGGAACTATTTACCAACATGGTTAGTATCCAAAAACAAACCTCATACAAGGAATACATTTTCCTTATCCCTGACTAACCATGGCAGGAGATGCAAGGATGACAGATAATTCCACTGAATTTATACAAAAATGGAGAATAACCGGACAACTAGTTACCAGCTATGGCCCTATGTCTTAAGAGCCATCCTAGATGACTGATTATGGGTAAAAAAGGTAAGTTAGTCAGTGAACTGAACCTGCAATAGGAAATCCATTCAGCATGGCCTATTAATCTGTCTAAGAAGCAAAGCTCCTGGAAGAAAGAAATCTCTGGAGAACCTCAACAGTAGTAGAACATACTGCGTAACACAAAGAACAATGCAAGAGCATAGAAGTAAGGTCCTCTCCATCCGTGCCCTGCACCCACAGTCCATGGATCAAACTTCATGGGTGATGTACGAGCAACTGATAGTCTACAGTAAAAGACAAAGCAAAAATAACTCGGACAAAATTCAGAAAGGAACCTATGAAACCCAAGGACTCTTGAGTGATTTCAACTGTGTGTTTAGGTGGGAACGATAGCAATAGAATGGTTATCCCAGGTCTGAGACCAATGGCAAACATAAAGCCACAGAGAAAACATGAACGACCACTTCAAAGCACAGCCTGACAACATAAAAACAATTTATATGTAGAAGAAAAGACAATGAATCTAGTCTGGAATGTAGACAAAAGAGACGTGCGAATAAATACTTTGCAGTTAGGGACAGGTTTAATAATATCATCATCCATAAGGGGAACCAAATAGAATTACCCCTTGTCTTATCTTAAGGACGTTTTTAATAGAAAGATATATTCTGAAAACGTTAAAGTGGACAACTGACCATTAATGATGGTGTGAATCCAACAATCATGTAAGCAATGCTAGGATCAGTTATAAATATATGTATCTG